TTGACACCAGTAAGAATTACTTCTTCACTCATTTAGTTATCATGTCCAACTTCAGTAGGACTTGGAAATGACAACAACCAGTCAAACAATGACTTCTTCTACCTCGTGTAAATTATAGTAGCTCAAAATGGAGCTTCTTTTGGAGGGCTACTACATCCTTTCTAATGCCAGTGTAGTACTAACTCTACTAGGGATTGTACATACAAATACTATTACAAGAATTGTTGGTTTGCAAGGTTTTGTAAGATGCAAAGAAAACTATTTGGATTACGGAGACAATGAGGTTATTTCACCAATTGAGTTGCTATCATTCCCAACTGGAGGAAATAATTATCTCTAGGACATCATATACTCCTACTACTTGAGAAATTTTGTTGTGAATGAAGTCTATTTGCTTTTACCTGTTTCCTACACCTTACTGGTATACTAAGCAATGTTGTATCCAGATAGCACCTTTTTGTTCTAACCGACATCTATTATTTACTAGCTACAAGGATAGACAAAATGAGACTAAAAAACTCCGGTCAACCACGTCCTTCCCAGCAATGCTAAGATTGTCATGTTGTCATGTTCTAGCAATTTCTCATCAAAGATGTCGTAGTCGGCTTTTTGCAATTTTGACAAGTAATGCATAGCAGGAATCACTGGAAGAAAACAGGTTCGGGCGTGTTTCGGAACATTACTCTGTAGTTGTTGAGCTTGTGATAGATGGGAATACGCAAGGATGCAAACTTGCTCAACTGCATCTCTGAGCAGTTGCCGTTCTTCCTCATYCAAAAGATTTTCCATGTKTTTCGCTCTTTCTGTCGCGTTTTCCTCGTCGTCGCTTTCATCGGCAATGATACTGTTGTTGGTGAAGATTAATTTATCGTACGGAAAGTCTTTTGGAAGGAAGTCTTTGGGGATCGAGCATTCTTCTCGGATTAATCGGAAACGAATCCCTCGTAGTGCCGTCACCAAACCAATGCCAATTCCTGCATGTTGTGCAACAATATCTACAGATTCATCTCGGACGTCAAGTGTCTCGAGCGTCAAATAGAGCAAGCTGGAAAATATACTGTCGGCATGTTCGATCATATCGGTCGTTGTTTCCGGTTGCTTACTATGTAAATCTGACTCTCGTGCTTCCGACAATCGTTCAAGAAAACGTCTCGTCAATTGCTTTTCATGAACAGCGTGATTCATAACCCTGACAATGGGATTCTTGAAATACGATTCAGCCAGTGTGTTGGATACCGAGAAAGGAGCATAATCACTATCATTGACTTTTTTGCTCGGTTGTTCTTGTTGTGGATCATCGTATATTCGACTCAGGGCATCCCACCACCATTGAATTCGTACCTGTAGGGCAACATTAGGGCCCGCCTCTCGTACCATTTTTTTGGGGGAGCTACCGTCTTTGATGGACGCCAACTCCACGTTCCAGGCCCGGATGGCAAAGAAAGCTTTTCTCGCATTGGACGGCATCAAAAGCCCACAAAGATACGATTCCCGGTCTCTATTCTGCACCAAATCGACGCAGTAACGAAAGTCCTTCGTTGCAATTGTTTTTTCTTTTTTCTTGTTGGTGTGATCTTGCGCAGTATCAGACGAAGCCGTGTTGGATGCGARATGTCGACGAGATGTCGAATGCATTGTTGGGTGGTGAGAGTTTTGGTGACTAGCAATAGAAGGAAAAACTGCACTCGTGGAAAAGGATCTTAAAGGATAGAATTTACAAGGTATCAGCAGATTCGAGGCGTAGGAAAAATATTGTTSATATCGATGCCCATTCGAAGCGAGAGCATTCCGTATCGGTTCAACTTTTACGGCACATCTGCTACTGTTAGCAAGTTTTCCATGCCAACTCATTCTGTAAGATCAATTCAACTTATTCTTTTTCAGCTCGTCAACGTATCAGTAGATTGTATGGTGAAMGAGAAATGCCACAACTCCAGCAGTTATGGCACCAACACGGACACAGGTAATAGTACCGGTATGAAAATTCGCTGGAAGATTTTTGTGGTTGATGTGTTGATCAATCGAAGTTTTTTGAAATTCGTTGTTGACTAGTAGTATTTACCGCGATGCTCCATTCTACCACTACTGTACTCAGGTAGCTGTACCGTACGTACTAGGAATCGTAAGTCCGACCGATCATATCAGACAAAACTTCGATAACAAATTCTTCCAATTACTATTGTAAATGTGCGAAAATTAACAAAACTTGCGCAGAATTTTCAATTTTCAATTTTTGAATATTTTTTTTAAAAAATGTTCTTTGAAACTGACAGTACGAAGTGGACGTGCATCGCGTCGCATCGCATCTATCTACCTACCGTATCTATCGCTCGCATGGACGTCACTCGACTCATCAACCTTCAACGATCTCTTTTTTGAGGATCGGTGTACGAGTACGAACTCTTACATATTTTACCGTCAGAGCACATTCATTGCCTGCAACCCCAACCCCAATTTGTGATTATTCCCACTAGAAGTACGAGTACTTCTACTTGATAAAGGATTTTTCATTTTTCCAGAAGAAAAGGCTTTGGTCACTTCTTTCTCGAATAAAACAAAAGATAGGATACTCAAAATGTGGGCTTCTTTCGTACTGGTAATATTCTCTATAATGACAATGGTTGGCGAGGCCTTCCTCCCGCCAAACCCAAAGAATTCCGCGAGAACACAGCACAAGAGTGTCSTGCAGCTGCAGAGTGAAAACAACGAAGAAACTAGTCGCCGTGATTTTGTCAGCACGACCTTCGGTTTTGGTGTTTCCGCAGCAACTGGACTCGTGATGGTATCGGGCCAACCCGCGCTTGCTGCTGCAGCAAGTCAAGAGGAGATGGACAAGGCTAAGGTGATCAAAGGGTATCAGAGACTGCAGTATCTATTGGATAACTGGGAGAAAGAAACCACCGTTTGCGGAATGGGTGGCGACAAATTGGAAGTATCCTGCGATCGCACACCGATTAAGGTAATGGACTACCTTGGTTTCAAGTCCACAACAGATCCATTGTACAAGGGCGAGAAGACACTTCGACGTCTGTACGATATCGCGCCCGCCAATCGAGACTCTGAGTTTATTGAGGCCGTGGAAATCTTTAGTGAGAACGCCGAGGAAGCTTCGAGTATGGCCTTCGTATCAAGTTGGGGAGAGGCCAACCCAGGTGAGTAATTTTTTCTTGGTTCGCATAGTATGTTGCGTTCTGACTTCACAATGCAATGCTTCCATCTTTGATGTTCAATACTTTCAAAGTTCTCACATCTTCCTATCSCTTTGTCGTGTCAGGGGGTGGAAAAGATCGCGTAGAGCTGTTCATCGAGCGTGCAAAAAAAAATGTTATAGCGACCCGAAATAGTTTGAAAACAGTGATTGATATTCTCGATTTAGACGCTAGCAAAAAATAATTATTTTTGAAAAAGTGGTCTTGGCACAAGATATTGTCAAAGCAAGAATTTGAAGTCAGTAATACAAAAATAAATTCTTAACTTTTTTCATCGCGCATTAATTTCCCTGTTCTTTGATGCTTAGATAGAACGAATGAACATAACTTTAGAGTCACTTCTTCTCAACGTCGCCGTTGGTACCATTTGTGTTGTTATCATTGTCAGTTTCCTCTGAATACGTGTTTGTTACTCGCTTGTAGGTGTTGCGTGTTCGGTTCACAATAGAAAATGCCAGTGCCTCCAGGAAACGATTCAATCTCTCTTGTAGTGTTTCCTTGATGACTACTTCGGAAAACTCGGTTGTTTCATAGAGCTGTAATAAGTTTTGTCGCTGTTCTGTAAAACAACTAGGAAAGAAGCCTGGAAAGAACCGTTGGATGGCACCGAAAACGAGAACGTGTCCCACTGGTGAAAGTGGGATGATGAGAATTATAACAACAGGAATGAAGGTGATGACGTCTTTGAAAGTGCGTCTACACATTTCATTTTCGTGAAATAGAAAACGGATTTTGTTAGAAATAACGTACAAAGCGTGGTGTCACTCTAATAGARCAACAAGTGGAATAGTCGAGTCGATTCGAGCTAAGCAAGAAGTGCCAAAAATCTTCGAAACAAGAGCTACATACCGAATTGTTCGCACTTCACGAGGCTTGAGTGTCACACCTTGGGCAGCGCGTCCGATAAGACTAACGGAATACAGTACATCACTCCAGAACAGTCGAGTCCCCTTTACATAGAACATGATGCCAGTCTTTGAACTTATGACTAAATCATTTAGCCATCGAACAATCGCCTCCCGATCATAAGTCAAACCAGTGACATAATAATCTATACCAAGTCTCCGTTTGAAGTCAGTCATTTGCTCTGCAATGACAGCAAGAATATCGGCATCCAACACACCCTTGGAATTCAAGTCTTTGCTGCAACTTTCGACTTGGCTCTCTAGTAGTCCATACTCAGCAACGTTAAGTCGATCTTGAAGTGGAATATACCCTTTGGTAGTGGGATTTTCCAACTCTGTCACCAAATATGTATAAATTCGCTCCAGCTCGTAAACCAAGTTTTGATAGGAGACTTTTTGCTCGAGGATCAGTAAAGCCTCTGCTGATTGACGGATTTTGTTTCGCAAGGTAGGGTTCAGGGACGCTAACTTGACGTTTGCAACAGCTTGTCCAGCTTTCAGTCCTGTAACCGAATATATCCAAATCATATGAAAAATACGATACCGATCAAAGTAAGATATAAGTAACGGACACAAAGCAGTTGCGAAGCTCGAGCCTCGCAGTCGCCATACGTACCAGATTCTACCAGTGCCGTGTGCGCCTTTTCTTTTTCATTCAACTGTTCCTGTAATAGAACAAGTTTCCTACGAGCTTCTTGAATGGCAGGTGTATCTTCAATCTTGGCAGTAACTGCTGGTTTAGAGTGACCAGAACCGCCGCCAATRGCGCCACCTTCGTCTTTTGATTCTRCTTCGTTATCATCGTCTTCTCCAAGGTTATCCGGWGTTTGCCCGTTGATACGAGCCCATACTGCTCCACCGAATTTTCTCAATGCTGCACGATCTTGTAACGCTCCTTCCCAGTCMACTGTACCATCATCTCGTACATAAAGCAAGGGCCCGATTGCAGTGGTTGTTGCATTGACTTCCCCCCCAGCTCCMGCATCKTCGGATTTCGATACCAGACTTGAGAGCTCGGGCACCTTCACTTGCTTCAAGAAGGAAGATGCCGATTCTTCACTATTGGAGTCGCCATTTTCTAGGTCGACACTATCAAGTACGCGTGAAAGATTATCCCTCGTTTTCAGAAGCCTCCTGTAAATCACAAAAGAACTAGTCAGATCCTTCCTATCCCAATGGAATTACAGAATACGCGCCAAAACCCTAGAACAAACCAAAAAGAACGAAGCAGCGTTGAGTATTTTAATGTACGTACTCCATGAGCATCATCCGCTCTTCATTACTATAGGCATACCGGCCCATGCCAACACCTTCATCGATTTTCAACACTCCTTTCTCGTCCATAAAATCCAWATCGTCTACAAAGGCTTGACATGTCATATCTTCAATTCGTTTCGTGACCTGCGATAGCAATTTCTCGTAATCGACKGCTCGCTTTTTGGTTTTGCGAGAGTTATTCGAAGGTGCAGCTTGCGAAGATAGGTTTCCATCGCTTCCTTTTCCATCGATTGAAGTTGCACCTTCCGACTGTCGTTCGACTGAAAGAGCAAACTCAGCTGCTGTCCAGTCCTCTAAGGTTTCTCGAATCCACATCACATCCTTCAACTGTCGAAATTTACTGACCGATGACGTCAATGAGTCTTTCTCTGTTTTTCCCATTTCMTTGCCCCCTAAGTCTTCGTCATCTACATCCGATGAAGAAACGCGGGGATCTCCTACTGAAGAGACAAAAAGTGAAGTGCGAGCTGCGCTACTTGTTCTCGACGATAGTAGCAACTGAGCGGTCGTGACRGACTTCGAAAATCCGACCGACCGCCCCTCCATTGGTTTCGAAGAATCGATGGGTGATAAAAACTGAATTCGTTGGTATTGCGAAGGGGAGAAAGGGGATACCAAAGATTCGACGATCGYACTTGAAAGGATCAATAACACGGCGGCGGCACTTGTTACTTGTCGCCCTCGGTGGGCAACCGAAACTTTCGAAACCGTCATGATGCTGATTTCATCTAAAATGTATCGGGKCCTTTTTGTTCGACTTGGTCTGTGATGTAGCTTCGTACGTCGTTTTTGAATACCACTGGGAATCGGTTATTGCAGGTGTCAASAGGTTGTTGTTATGAACAGACACTCTTTTCGATGATTCAATTTTCTTTTCCTCTTCATATGGCACGACTGCGACTAACTACCATTGAAATTTTTGCGTCTCTTCGTAGATTTGTAGACAGAAAACGGTGATTTTCACTCACTTTCCTGCGCAGCTGCGAGCAGACGTCCTACAGTATCTTCTGTACCAGATTTACGTGCTGTCGTGTTGGGTTGTACTAAGCAGAAATTTTTGGTACGCAAAAACCGTTACTTTGTTCTTCATCCTGTTCTTGTTGTTATCTTGTTCAATTTCGTTCGTTGTGGTTGGYTAATCCGATGCCTTGAACTTGAACAACTTGCGTGCTCCATGCTAGGCAATCACAAACAAGCACGCGTAACTTAAAGAAATTGAAAAATTGCAACTACACATTAAATTTCCAAAAACTCTTACACGTACCGTAGCCAGAAATCAAAAATGATGTTCTGACAAAAAAATATCTKTTTCACGCAAACAAGGGGAATCCCGCAAGTGAAAGTTCGTCTTAATGAAGAAACCGAGATCGATCAAAACGAYCMTCACGCGGTTTTGGAATCACTCCATCCAATCAGTATGATACCTCCTGCAGTAAAGATAGCAGTGAATTTTAAATGACCGAATGATGGAGCGCTTGCTGTTCAACTTGGTTCAAGAGAGAAACGAAAGAGAGACCCTCCCGTTTGTAGCTATCCACGACTCGAACGCTACGCTGTTGAAGGAAGCCGATGCCTGGCAATACAAGTGTGAAGAATTAGAGCGACAAGTTGTTGCAAAGCAAGAATATTTGGAAAGTGTCGCTGCAAACAGCGGTATCTCCAACCATGCAGTTAGTGATGGTGACAATGGCGATGATGAAAGACGCGAGGAGAAGAAGCTGGTGGAGCTTCACTATGCCGAATCCGCTGCTCTCAAGAATGAACGAAAGATGAGAGAGGAACTAGAACGCCTTCGAGGCCAAGTCAAAACTCAAGAGGAACGGCACGAAAAAGACGCCCAAGAAGCAAAAGAAGCCGAGCAATCCCACTCGGATCTCAATGAACGATACAAGRCTCAAGAACAAAATCTTGTCGCGTTGCAAGAAAAGAACGGCAGGCAAGAGCGCGCTCTGGAATACTTGAGCACAAAGGTGAATGACAGCGAACAGCGAGCCAATCTAGCTGAACATCAGTGCATCGGCCTCAAAGACACTATTCGGCTTCTTCAAGAGGAAACCGATAAATTGAAAAAGGATTATCGCAATCTTGAAACACGATTCATCGAGGAGAAGTCGCGCTTGTCGAGCGAAGTGAATAGCCTCAACGAAATTCTAGAGCGACTCAAAGGAGAAACGGAAAATCTTCAATCGATTAAGAAACAAGAGGAAAAGCGACAGAGCTGGTTCGGTTTTGCTAGCAGCAGCAGCAAAGAAAACAAAGTCGAAGCTATGTCACAAACAATGGCAAGAGCCACTACAGTCAATCCATCCGATACAAGAACAGCAATCCACAATAGATTTGAAAAGGACGAATGTGGCACTGATTATCGCAGAAAAAAAGTCGTTCCCGTTTCGGTTGTCGTGCCTTCAAAGCCGAAGCACGTTATACAGGCGCATCGCCACGAGGCTTCTTGTGTAAGGTGAGTACTTGGCACATTTCGAACTGTCTTGAAGAGAAGATCTTACACSAAGCAAAATCGACGATGAGCTCTAACCTCTTTGATGGATCATTGTACAAAAACTGGACAAAGGAGCGATGATTCAGGTATGATTGTTTCGTGTGGGCTTTTGGACGGGACCGTCAAGATTTGGAATGCATCAGATGGATCAATGATCGCAAGTTTAAAAGGGGGGAGCGGCAACTCTATAGTCTCTTGTGACGTTGAGAATGGCCGTGCCGCTGGTGGTGGGAACGACAAAACTTGTCGTGTGTGGGACATACAAACACAGCGGATGCTTCATCAGCTCGTAGGACACACCAATATCATAACKTGTGTTCGGTTTGTGAGTGGAGGGCGAGGGGTCGTCACCGCTTCGAAAGATCGCCAAATAAAAGTGTGGGACATTTCCAAACAAACGTATCGAGAATCAACAAATATCGTTCTAACATCCAGCGCGAATTCGATCGATATTTCTGAGAATTCCTATACAATGGTGTCTGGTCATACAGATGGAGGTCTTCGATTCTGGGATATACGGACCGGGCAAAGGAATGCCGAGATCAAAAGTATGTTGTTTTATTTGATACTTGTGAAGAACTTCTAYATTTACAACTTGACTCCCGCTCAGCCAATTTTATCCTTATTTTCATCCTCCGCTCTGATATGTGTCGATCACTGTGATAGCTATCCAYAAATTTGCCGTTACGTCTGTGAAATTTCACCCATTAGACTGTTCCAAGGTTCTTACGAATGGAATGGATTCGAAAATCAAAATCATTGATATTCCCAGTTGCAAAGTGATGCAAGAATTCTRTCATAAAGACTTCAATACTTCATATAATTGGTCATCCGCTGTATTCAGTCCTAATGGTAAGAGGTTTCCGTATGTGCTTCAATKTAATTCAACATGCACCTACTCACCCTATCTGATGTTGGCAATTGGATTGTTATTCCAAATTATGTYATGATTTCTTTTGGGTGTTTCTCGCTATTGTATAGGTGAGTTTGTTGCATCCGGATCCTCCTCCACCGGTTTCGTCTTTGTATGGAACGCGAATGATGGTAAATTAGTTCGGATGCTGGAAGGGGCGCACCAGTATGCAGGGGTGTGTGGGATTGTATGGGGCGACGAGGGAGCACAATCTGTCGACAAAACTGGGAAGCTTGTTTTGTGGTCCTGATTCTTGGTTTCAAGGGCAGAATAAATGCTTTGGTTTGACGACGATGGTTACCATCTACGCGCAAAGCACTCAATTCTGTCGGAATTAAAAGCACAGATATGAACAAGAAGAGTAATAACTATTGAAGGAAAGATTTCTTCCTTAAATCAAATACCAAACAGTATATAAATACATATTTATTTATTCTGTAGGAGTAGACAATGGCTRAAACAGAAGCGAATCTGTAAAACCAGCCCGCTGAATTCTTGTTTTTATAATTCAAGAACATCTCTATCCTAGGGTGAGTCCAAGAGCAGCACCCATCGTCTTGTTCACTTCCATATCAATTTGTGCTTCGGCTTCTTCTTGAGATCCAGAGGCAGCGGATGCAGCAGCACTCTTGGCAGCTTCGTAATTGGCACTGACAGCACTGGCGTCAAGATCGTCAACCTTGACGGCTTCGACGCAGACGACATCCTAGATCGAGGAAAAAGTTCGGATCAGAGTAGTTGCGCGGTGAAAGGAAGATTGGAAACAGGGAACAAAGTCATCAATCGATGAGCGACACATAGCGCGAAAGAGACTCCCAAACTATCAGTCCAGCATTTTACRTGCGATGGCTTGTTCAAACGCTAYTTTTCTCCATCAAGTACTTACGGTCACTGAATTGGCATGGGTGACGGCGTATCCACCGGCAACGAAGTACTGCTCGGATTCGGTCGCGTCGAACTGCACTGTCAAGATTCCAGGTTTCATYTGAGCTACGTAAGGAACGTGGTTGGCCGTGACCCCGTATTCTCCTTCTGTTCCAGGAATGATAACTGATTCGACCGAGGCGCCCTCGTAAATCGATTCATAGGGAACGCTGAAGTTGAGGGACACCGAAGTTGCAGCCTCCGTCGCCTCGCTGCTGAAACTTCGAGCTGCTACACCTCGTGTCCTCGACAAGAGTGTCTTTGCTACAGTGGACGATCGAGACAACATGGTTATGCMGTTGTTTAARTTGAATATAGGTAGTAACTAACGCAACCAGAGTTATTAGCAGCAACAGTAAATCCGTGAAAGGASTCTGAAAGCACTCGTGCCGATTGGCCATCGTCGGGCACRCACAATCAACGCGGTCTTCAATCCGTGCGATTTTAGTTCTTCCCTTCTCGCTGCTATCTTTTTGCCGTGCGGTAATGAATCAACGCGTGTTTCCAGCGTGCAGTAGGGCACGCGCGCAACGTAAGATATCAGGAATGAGTACGAGACCGTACGAGCGCATCCGTACGGGACAGCTCACGGTGAAAATGCGCAAAATGAGGGGCAACGCGAGCCAAAACTAGCGAGAGAAACCGACGAAGACAAACCACGAAAAACTCTCGATGCAATTTCACGCTTCAATACAGAAACACCCAACAAGCACAACCGTTGCAACAACAAATACGAATTCAAGATGATTGCCGCTCGTCGTATCGCTCAACAAGGTAAGAATAGACRATTATATGCGACTCTAATGATATACGATGAAAGAAAGAGAGACGATSACCGCAGCGATGGAAGCACAACCTTACGATGGTCATCGGCATAGAGAGGTTCGCCAACATATCTTCGGCATCGGCGCCTCTATTTTGCAAGACGTGGGTTTTATGTAGTAGGGAATTCACGCAGCAGTACGGTGCACACCAGATTCGTCATGAACCATAGGAAAACCCAATATCTACCACGGCAAAACATTTTAATACAAAAACCCTGCTGACAACCAAGTTCGTTTGTTATTGYTTTCGTTTCCTCCAGCGGGTGTCCGTGCTTACAGCTCCACCGCTGGTGCCTTCAGCGCTGGAAAGGTCACCACAGTTATTGGTGCCGTTGTGGATGTTCAATTTCCCGACAAGCTTCCCAAAATTTTGAATGCCCTCGAGGTTGAAGTCCCCGAAGGAAATGAGAGATTGGTCTTGGAAGTYGCCCAGCACGTAAGTACCGTGGAAGCRATKTTTAACACCAGAGTCTAGCTAGCAATATTGTGAGGTAAAGAGAGCTAGCGTAGTMCACAAGCAGTAACGCATTATCTCAAYTTTTCCGTCATTTTCTATTCCAGTTGGGAGAAAACACCGTGCGAACGATTGCTATGGAAAGTACCGATGGTCTTGTCCGTGGACAAAAGTGCGTCGATACCGGTGCCCCTATTCAAGTGCCTGTCGGACCTTTGACTTTGGGACGTATCATCAATGTCATCGGTGAACCCGTCGATGAAAAGGGACCCATCTTCGCTGACGAAAAGGAGAAGAAGTTCGCCCCTCTTCACAGATCCGCACCAACTTTCACCGARCAAGGACGTTCGCAGGATATCCTTGTCACCGGAATTAAGGTTGTCGATCTTCTCGCGCCTTACGCCAAGGGAGGAAAGATTGGTCTTTTCGGTGGTGCYGGTGTTGGTAAGACCGTTGTTATCATGGAACTTATCAACAACATTGCCATGAACCACGGAGGATACTCCGTTTTTGCTGGTGTAGGTGAACGCACCCGTGAAGGAAATGATTTGTACCACGAAATGATTGAGGGAGGTGTCATCAAAATCGACGAAAAGACCGGATCCACCGAAGGTTCCAAGGCTGCCCTTGTGTACGGACAGATGAACGAACCTCCAGGTGCCCGTGCCCGAGTTGCCCTTACCGGACTCGCTATCGCCGAGTATTTCCGTGATGAAGAAGGACAAGATGTGCTTCTTTTCGTTGACAACATTTTCCGATTCACTCAAGCCGGTTCGGAGGTGTCTGCCCTTCTAGGACGTATTCCATCCGCTGTCGGTTACCARCCCACCCTTGCCACCGACATGGGTGCTTTGCAAGAACGTATTACATCCACAGGAAAGGGATCCATTACATCTGTCCAGGCCGTTTACGTGCCTGCTGATGATCTTACCGATCCTGCCCCTGCCACCACTTTCGCTCACTTGGATGCCACCACTGTGTTGTCCCGATCCATTGCCGAACTTGGAATTTACCCTGCTGTCGATCCCCTTGACTCCACCTCTCGTATGCTTGACCCTCGTGTGATCGGAGACGAGCACTATGAAGTCGCCCGTGCTACCCAGAAGCTTCTCCAAGATTACAAGGGTCTTCAAGATATCATTGCTATTTTGGGAATGGATGAACTTTCGGAAGACGATAAATTGACCGTCAGCCGTGCCCGAAAGGTTCAGAAGTTCATGTCCCAACCTTTCCACGTCGCTGAGGTTTTCACCGGAACCGCAGGAAAGTTTGTTTCCCTGGAAGAYTCCATCAAGGGTTTCAAGGAAATCATCAATGGAGATTACGACCACCTCCCAGAAGTTGCCTTCTACATGGTTGGAGGAATCGAAGATGTCAAGGAGAAGGCTGCATCCATCTAAAACCTGCAAACTGAGATTGATTGAAGTCATTTTATCATCAAAAAGAAATACTYGGAACCGAATCGATCGATATTTGGTTGTCATAACCCTCATTCGAAACTAGACTACATTTTGTCTTATCTGATACATATGTAGGTAGTAATAGTAATTATMTCACTAAGCTATCAATCTCATGAAAATGGTTAGAACTCGAATGCAAACCAATGTAATCTTACACTTTTGTTTTGCGGACGCATGATGACAAAATTCTGCTACCAGGGCTCCGSAAGTAAGATTGACTTGACGCTTTTTATTGGATAGTGTTTCCYCCTCTTTGATCTTTCTTCTGAATGAACTAGAAATACATCTGAAGATTAAAGTCTTCAACTTTATAAAGTACTTTACGAAGTAGAAGTACAAGGTAGAGAGGCAGCTCGTGAATCGTCCTGCGAAACACGACGTGCTCGATTTTAAGTTCGGTCTCTCGTTCGTTTCCACCAGAAATTTTTAGAATACAAATACACGTACTACGGTATGCATGATATGCATGATGCATCCAGCCTACCTACGGGTCGGCTCGTACTTACTAGTATGAGACCATGGGAAATTTGTAATTTATCAGGACCCTTTCGTCTGAGTCCCTAATGGTGACAAAATCCAAAATCACATMAAATTATGGAAAAAAACTTGGTACGAGTTTGTGCTCGCAGGTACAGAAGCAATTTCGTTGTTGCTTTTCGCGCGCGTGTATTTTTCTTGATGTTGTATKACGAGGACATGGAGCTGTCTTGAAGACAAGCCATCATCATCGTTGTGAAGTGGTCTCCGCACTAACTGCGCTAGAATGGTTGAAGATTACACACCCTTCTCGAACAATGTTGTGGGAGATGGCTGCGGGGTTCCATCGGTTGCCGTCCAATGGATTGTCGATAACGCATTCACCAACGTAGAACTTGCCATACTCTCCAATGTTTGTCGTGGTTGGAGAGAGATSGCAGCGCAATGCATTGTCGACGCTGCATCACTTGAGATGRCCAAAGAGAAATATTCGGTGTCGCCARCATTCAGTTCTTTGCTAYTGCCGTCAATCGTTCGACATTTCTACTCTGTGCGCACGGATTTGCGGGCAAGACCATCCAAATCGGAGCTGGAGCAGGAGGAAGAGAAAAGGCAACGAGACGAGACGTATTGTGTGGCCTGGTTYCATCCAGATGGTATTAAATTCGAGCAGCTGTCAATAGTTAAACCGAGTCCAGAAAGTTGCGAAGAAGATGAACAGCCTAATCCGGGTGGCACCCCAAAATCTCAGGCCGAGGCAATGGATCCGTCTTCCAGCAATCACAAGCACTTGTTTACGAAAAGCAATTTGCGACTGAATCAAAGTCTTGCGGCATCAACAAGGCCCGAGTCGTGTCCAGCTAGTGACAATATCATGGACTGGGGATGTAGTGTTTTGTACCAGTGGGATGGTTACAGCGAGGCTATTGATGTCCTGTCCCCTTTTGGTTACACTCRCTGTTTCCTTCGAGTAAGTTCGGTATTCAACTCGAGATGGATCTATGACATATTTCTCTTTCATGGCCATAGAATAAGATGATCCACAAACTCAACATACTATCCTTTTCCTTCGGTCATGAAATAGAGAATACTCGAAAAAACTCAGGAAAAATCTTTTAGTGAAAGGCCAACTGGTGTAAAAGGGGACMAACGCGGATTGGATGTCGATCAAGCCGATATCTTGCCGTCATCCTCTCCTTGGGCATTTCCTACAAGATGCGACAGTACATACTCATCATGTGCCGTTCGTGGTGCAACTTATGCTCGGCCCGAAGGATACTGCCAGTGCTGGGATAATGACTCGTTTGATCCTTCGCATTCAAAGGATGAGGCTTGGACGAGAAAGAGAAATAATCGTCGAAAAGAGCTCCAACGAGAGGTACGACGATTATGGACCGTGATCAATACGAATYGATATGAATCTACCGTTCTGAAAATGTCTGTATCCTTCTTTCTTACCTGATGAATATTTGTATCATTGTACTTTTTTCTTTTTCGTGAACGTTGTACTGTAGGTTCTACCAAAGGTCTTGTGGAGTAAACACGACGACAAGGACATGGGAGGATGTGGTGGAATTTACCGCCCTTGTATTCAATTCCTTAACATTGATTCCACCAATGCAGTTCGATTGTTTACACCTAAATTCAAGACGCCAGTGTTTACCCCTTTGACTATCTTCTGTGTGGCCATTGCAACAGAGGACGGTTGCTTTTTCTCTGGATTGGAGCAAAGGTTTGAAATGGGACACATGCACCCCACGAAAGGTAACATCGAAATTAACGACGAACGAAGTCCCATCTGTCTGAATGCGAGCTATACCAACTGYAAAGTTTGCCGATTAAAAGATAATTTGCAAGGAATGGATAGCACYAWAAAATATCAAGAAATGGACGTTGGCCGTACCGACGCCATATTCTTGGATCCAAGTTGCAAATGCTTTCGTCCGTCGACCAACGTATCTGAGGAGGAATCAGAGGAAGAATCCGAAGAATTTGATGACGACAGTTTTGCAGACTTTTTGCTATCTGCCAACCAAGAAGGAGACGAATCTATGAATGATTGTGACGACGACGACGACGACGACGACGACGACGACAGCGATTGTGAACATATTGTCCGTGGTCGTCTCGGACCCGGAATGTGGCATTGCTATGTAGGAGTTTTTGATGGTATCAAAAGTATAATTCGTATAGATGGAGAAGAAGAACCAACATCTGGTGCTTCCGCAATACCGCCATCGTTTCAAGCTTGCCTAGACGGTATCAYGATCGGTTCGGATCATGTGTTCGATATGACGCTATGCTTTGGGGAAGGATCCGATGGAGAAGGGGAGGGTGCCATGTCGGAATTGGTTCTTTTCAAGGGTCGCTTGCAAGACGCAGATATCAAGTCGTTGGAGTCGCACCTCATGAAAAAACATGGGATTCCAGTTCCCTTCCGACCCAGGAACGAACGAGTGAACGATGATTATTACTCACGATTGGCTCATACCTTAATGGATCAGTCACCGTCCACATATGTAAACAGGAAGAGAGGCGGAGGAGTGGAAGGCAAATCTGTCCCGCTTCGTTACATGACAGAGCTACGACACGTAGCATGGAAACAGAAAGACAATGTCACCGGACGGCCACGTTCGATTCGCCGGATAGGGGCTTCGCATCGAAAGGGTTCCATAAGTGAATGGTGATGGCACTAGCGCACATATTTGACATTGTTCTTTCTATCTAATATTTCATCATAACAATACTGTGAAAGACCAAAGCAATCTACARTTGATCTAATTAAATGCCAATGGCAACATTCCTYGTAGTATGCTCTACCCAGGTACTATTTTTCATTCTTCAACGTTTCGTGAACGACACACAAAAAATTGCGTCACTTGTTTCATTCCCAAAAGTATTGTCAATGGGCAAGCTTCCGTCCTGCGCATTTGCAGAATTGCAGCTATATATTCGTTTGATTAATCATAGGSGAAGCATATTTCTGTCAACAACGCTCATCCCCCATGAATATTTCAAGCGTTCAACAATATTCATTAATTTACCAACACTAGCCTACATTTCGTTCCTTTTTCCGTCCGTACCTTTGTTCCGGAAGCTTGCTTAGTTGTAAGGGTCCTGGAAGTGGAACTTGGAGGCTCCCAAAGCTCCCATGACGGTATCGTAGATACCGAATTGTCCAGCCGTCAGCGAACCAATCATTACGCAACGAGGGAGAAGACCGACAAGGCAGAGGTTTCTGAATCCAACTTCCTTGGCGATGTTTCCAAGACGCTGCAACAATGGTCCGTCACCACCGGCACCCGCTTTGTTGACCTTCGAAAGGAGCGTATCGGCAGGGTGAGAGATGATGGCGGCACTAACTCCGGCAATAACACCACTCGCCAAGGAGATTCCGAGGTTGGTGGTTGAAGAGAGCTCGGCAGGAGTTTTACCCATGGACTTGTACATAGAATCAGCAGCAGTACCCTGGACTACGAATTTAGCACAGGTGTAAGGAATTTGCTTGGCCAAAATGGGGAGGAAACCGCTGTAGAACCCACCGATTCCCTCGGTCTTGAACATTTTGACGAATCCATCACCAAGGCCGTTGGCGAAGGATGGATCGGAGACCTGACGAATACGAACGGCCTCAAGAGGGCAAAGGAAGACATCTGCAACGAACTCGGCGGCGGCGGCAGCGCCGATGTAAATCATACCCTTGTTGGCCCAGGCCTTCTCTTCTCCCAAGGCTTGGACGGCTTGGATCTTGATGTAATTAACTCCACCGAATTTGAACCATCCCTGAACAAAGTAACCAAAGGCTGTAGCACCGAGTCCGGTGGCCAAGGCTCCGGCTCCCTCTTCGGCAACGACCGTGCGAAAGCCACCGATCAAACCTTTGTACTATTTTGTCAACGATGGCAAACAAACAACGCATTGGTCATTGGAATTTTTACGAACAGGTTTCAGTTTCGGAATTCCGGGTCGATARTTATTCGTGTTAGCAGAGGTTTATCAATTCGTGCATTCGAATCGATTGAAAATGGAAGAGAAACAGGCGTTAGGGAAATCATGGACAAAGAAATTCGCTTGGTTGACCAAAGCGTGGAAGACGTCCTCAGCCGCTCCAAGCCCTGACGAAACGTTGAAGCTCCACCGCAGAAATTTTGGAGTACAATGCAGAATTCAAGCTGCTAAGAATTGAATGACTTACCTTGGCAGGATCGAGCTGGACACGGGTCTTAACGACATCGACAGGGGTCAAAGCGGCGTGGGTGATGGAGCAGCAAATACCCCCGGACAAAGCACCCTTGAGGTAGAACATGGGGGTGTACTTTGAGAAATCATATTTCGAAGGAGCCAAAAGAACGGAACCAGTAGCAGCAGACGACATTTTGGATTGTTGTTTGGAAGCTGAGTGTTAATTGGTAGGGTTAGTGTTGTTGTCGAACGATGACTTTTCAAACGAAATATGGGAGATTCCGCGTTATTGATATCGCGCCGTCTCGTTTCGTACAGAACGGTAATTTGCATGCACGTGATCGCAATCGATGGCGGCGAATACATTACTGTATTGGCCGTCTGAGACCGATGGCTTCGATGGACACGAAAAGAATTCATTTTTCTCTTCTGAATGACGATTGGAATTTCTACCGTCCCCACTGCTAAGCGTACACGTACTGGTACGTACTTTACGCAGGCCGGGCGCAGGGCGTACATACGTGGGCGGCCAACAGGAGGGACTCGACTCGACTCACTCGCTCACAATCGTCCACGCGACCGTTAGTTGCATTTTCTAGGAGGAATCTCGTACTCGTAGTCAATTTTGAACCTTACCATGCTCGTACTTAAAAAGAGTACAGGGTTGGGGATTGTTGATTTTCCTAACGTACGGTGCGTACTTCCTCCGTTTTGGTACGAGTAGTGAGATTTAAATTTAGACGAGTCACGAGTACATGAAAGTTTCAGCGAGCCTGGCTGAAATTACAAAAACAAGGTCTCAGTTATGGACAGGAGTCATAATKTAGACCCCTGGTTATCATGGACTGGTTTCTCTCCAAAATCGATTAGGGATATTGAGTCGTTCGCGCAGAACTCTTCGACTGGCGCGCACATCGGTGGAAGTACGSCTACGGTTACTTTCTACGAGCATCTATCAGTACTTTACGTCGTACGTTGCTCCTACCGTACCATTGGCATAATCTCTCTGTTAAGTAGAAGTACGACGTAAGATGAAGTAGATTACGTACGATACATTACGTAAGTAGTTATTGTGAGGCTAACTCGCTTCCTGGATTTGCATTACACATCTGGGGACACCACGGCAAAGAACAATCTTCTGCCATACTGTATTAGTGGAAGCTACCGGTACACTTCTCGTAGCCGAGAACAGAAGCTCCAGATCATCGAATCGGACAGATTGCATGTTGCATTCACCACTTTTTTTTTCTGCAACCGTATCGTTTGTACATGCCTCCCCTTCTACACCGAAGCCCTAACTAAGAGATAAATTCTAATCTCTACTTCTCTTTGACCCATCATACCTTACATAGTCATTGACAGCACGCCATCACATTTTGACTATCTTACTCATTCCGGTGGAATACAAGTCGATTATCGATAGGATAATCGAGAGCAAAAGTGTTCGCAAAAATCAGTAGCACCACACACTAGAACATCTCGGAATCAAACTAAACCGACATGACAACRRCAAGCATGKCCCCCTACAACGAGAATACATCTTTGCTCCCGGAAGAGACGACGGATGTCGAGGGCGTCGAAACCTCTGCACGTTTGGCATTTGAGCGCTCCAACGGTGATGCTTCCCGTCGGTATCACCAGAAACGGACGAGACCCTCGCCTGAACACGACAGCGAGGAAGAGCCCTGGCACCAGAGTGCGGGAGGATTGTTGCAACCTGTAATCTTCGGCGGTCTCGATGGAATCCTGACCTCGTTCGCCATTGTTGCCGGAGCTGCCGGCGGTGGATTGTCCATCACAGCGGTGCTCGTTCTCGGCTTTTCCAATATTTTTGCGGATGCACTAAGGTGAGTTCAAACAGAGKAAGCCAAAATTAATGACGACTTCATGGATGTGCTTTCATTCGTTCCTGCCTTTGTGTTTCTGGATGAATTCTCTTTAGGCAAGGGGCATGACATCGCATATGATATCGAACTTTTGCACTCGCTCAAATAGTTTAAACCGTGTTGTTGAAAATATCTTATCCGTTGTCTCGTTTCATAGCATGGGCGTCGGAGAATTTTTGTCGAGCAAAGCCAACAACGAATGGATTCTGAGTGAAAAGAAACGAGAGGAGTGGGAGATGGAAAACTACCGCGAAGGAGAAATCCARGAAATGATTGATATTTATGTCAACAAAGGTTTGACACCAAAGGATGCAAAGCTTGTCATAGAAACCATGGCGAAGTACGATGACTTCTTTGTCGATATAATGATGCAGCAAGAATTGGAGTTACAGGTCCCAGAGGAAGACCATGTTGAGCAAAGCATGAAAGAAGGCTTTGTTATGTTTTGTTCCTTTGCCTTTTTCGGAACCGCGCCTCTTTTGGGATACACCCTCATTCCATGGCTTTTTCCGCATCTGGAAAGCGAAATTTTGTTCCGGTCGGCTTGTGCCGTGACAGGACTTGTGTTGTTTCTGCTTGGTTCCATCAAGAGCAAYTTTTCGTGAGTATTGTTCGTAATTGTTCTGCTTTCAAAACTTACAGTTTCTGAGCAAGCKTATCCTAACAACAAACTTTTTACTTTTTCCTTCGTTACTCACGCCTCGGTTCCATTCCATCCCCTGACAGAGGGACAAACTGGTTCTGGAGTGGTTGCGAAACATTGATCCTGGGTGGAACCTGCGCGACAGTTGCTTATACCATTGGATTTTTCGTAAATTCAATGCTTGACGAGGATGACTCGGCAGGAACGCTATAAAAATGCTTAACTACTTAGAACGAAAACTGCTCCGTAGAACGAACCCCATATCATAGGGCATGTAGGTAGGATGATGATGGTGAAACTAGTTCCTGGCGAAGTGCGAAAAAGAAGAAGCGATGTGCATGATTGGAAGGCGCAGATCGATCACGCTTGTCTCGCCATGACACAACGAGGCCGTAGCGAAACATTTATTTTTGTACTTTTGTGATAGCTCATCTTTCGAAAGGTACCGTACACTATCATGATCCTTCTTGTGAGAAGTTTTCCAGGACAAGGGAGAACATCTTATAAAAACGGTTCCTCCAAACAGAGTCTCAAGAGAGTTGAGCAAACCAATGCAAAAGCTATCGCAAGGAAACCACTGAAGATATGTTGTTGTACTTGTTGYACTGGTGCTAATGATGGTACCACCAGTAGCAGTAGGAGGAAGAAGGACATATTTGCTGTTGTTCTTCCTTCTTGTAGTAGGTGTTTCTTGTTCTTCCAGTACTATTAGTAGTAGTATCATTGGTACCGGGAAGAATATCATGAGTCAGTACTACTGCTAGTAGTTGTACTGCTACTAATACTACTGTTAGTAGTATTGGGGAATGGAGCAGTAAATCAAGCCAAGAAGAAGAAGAACTAAAAGTTACTAGACTTTGTTTGATGAGCTAAGGTACTGTAAGAGTATTGTTCACCTCTGAAGATTGCTCTCAAAGTAATACTACTAGTAGTACTAGTAGTTCCATACATGGTTTACTTCAATAAGGGGTGAGGTTATTCACTATCTACTAGGGATTTGGCTTCTCAATACCTGCCATCTTCGTCCGTACAAGTACGAGTACGCCTGGTAGAAGCACCGTCACTTTTTTTTCCACCGAACAAGACATTACGTCGATCGTTACGATGAAGTAAGGGCATTGAAGCTTCGAAAATTCAACATAATTCATTTTGAATCGTACCAGTAGTTGCAGTGTATTGGCTTGCGACGTCCCAGGATTCTACTCGAGTCGCCAGAGACTGTTCTTAAAATACGAAGTAATAATACCGATCGTCGAGACATAGCCGCAGACGAGAAAATGCAATCAAATGCTTTCTTTCTTYCCCTCCTTTGGGGAGTTTTCATTCTCCAAGGGTGTATATTCGCTGATGCATTTCATTCGGTGTCGCTCAAAGGACTGGGTGGATCATCGTCCTTCGTAACCAGAAGATATGACGGATCCAGTCAGACAACACGTTTTGCAGCTGGGAACGGCGACGAGGAGGAAAGCAAAAAAGCAGATCTCATCGATGAYGACGATAATGAAGCGGACGATGACGAAGAACTCCCAATGTTTATTTTGGACTACAATTCTGAAAATGTTGATTATTCCCAGTTACCGGTGCCCCCCTTTACGTCTGGCTTAGTTTTGCTCGTCAGCACGGCATTCACTGTGTATCTTTATTATGTCGGGTTGACGGGTGGTATCGCGACGGAGCCCGTTCCATGAGACGGCTTAATTGGTTGCCACTTTGTGCCACAAAAGGATCGAATTCAAATYCTTTTCTTTTGCAAGGGAMGTATCTCTAAGTCAATCGTTTRTGCTACCCGCAGAAACAGGATGCGAACTAAATCTGGTCTTCATMGAGACGGTGAYCACTGAAATAAAAAACGATCAGCTAGAGACGCTATTCTGGAMCCCTGCCAAACACCACAGAGAAACAAAATGGTTTGAAGCAAGTCGTTTTGATTGCAGAATCAATCCTTGCCGCAATAATTAGACRCAAGCTATCAGACGACTATCCCAGMGCAWGGAAATCGTTCGATGAAATGTTRASCAAAAATTGAGTCAATCAATATTTGCGTTCCGGATTGACGYATTGTTTTGCGTTGTCCTTTTTCAGCGACATTCTTGTGTGCGTAAAACAGAACTAGCTACAATAGATAAGCAAACGGTTGAAATATAGTAAATCACGTCAATCGTTGCAGTAATATACAGATCCATTAGGGGTGTTGAGACTGTTTAGCTTTAATCCATTGTGCTTATTCCTCAGGTCGGGGTCCCTTTTCGGAGACGTAGATACCGTCCAAAAATTTACGCAAATCTTTGTTTCGGACATTGGTGGCTTGTTGGATTTTGGCAGCAGTGAGGGAAACGGCAGTAATATCAATTCCGGAAAGTTCGATTTGATCCTTRACATCTTCCGWTCGAACATATTCGACTCCCTCTGGCAACAAAACCTTTCGCACACGACGTTCTCCCAAGAAGTTACGGATTTCAACGTWTCCAGAGTTGGTACTGACATTGATGGGGAAATGCGAGTAGACGAATCGCATCTTGTAAAGGAATCCTCGGGTGACACCGACGATCATGTTTTCAACGTGCGAACAGACAGTACGGACGCAGGCGAGTTGCTTTCGGGTAGCAAACCACAAGTCAACCTGAAGGTACTTCTTTTCGACTTCTTCGCCTTCCTCTCCTTCCATCTTGGTTACCAATCGGCATTCCATAGGGATGTGCTTGAAGTCACGTGTAAGGCTACCGAGTTTTCCKGTGACTCCGACAACGCGGGCCTTGACGGTGACGTCGACTATATCGCAGTGATTTCGTGAAATAAAGGAGTAGGACTAGGTGAGAAAAGCAGCGTACGGATCATCGGGCAAAAATAGCATACYAAWTCGCAACTCCTTCGCCTTCGACAACGTCGAAACTYAGACTACATACCTCCATCAGGGATTTCGACACAACGGGATGCTAAGACAGTCTTCATGGTGCTATACTATTAAAGCTTATACGTGTGGCGGGCCAATTCGCGGGGGCAACAATACMGAGTGAGGAGGGTGGCAAAAGGAGCAGCAGAGATGATTACCAGCAGTCTTGATGCCGCTAAGAGCATTTCACSACAACAGTTAGCAYAATCTTTTCTTGTGGCCGAACTGTTTTAGTAAACGTCGGTAACAAGGTAGGGGTAGTCTGTACTTCCCACCTATTTGTTCGGAGAAGTCAAATGATAGACATGATTCCCGTTCTCGCCCAGAACGTTCCATACATGCTATGGAGTAAACGTAGGATTCATAGGTGTGAGGCTAAATCCCGAGTAGCGTACGTACTACGTACGAAATAAAGCTGCACCGAAGAGATGTGAAAGTGCAGTAGAGATTATTAGGACCCTACTGCAAGTATCAGTACTATGTACATATCATACTGTACAGTATTCCATTACAGTACTGTACCGTACATTACAGTACCATGTATCGTATCATAGAGAAGTTGTACGCGTACGAGTACGAGTACGGGTACTCGTAGTGAGTAGTACTTGTCGGGTATGGCAGTACAGTTATTTATGAACACGTACGTCTGCTAGTAGCTCGTACGACGCGTACCTGTACGTACTACGTAGCTAGCACAGGTGCTACCTCGCTCCCGTCCCATCACAAACTGGACATCATCCCTCGTCCGAAATCGCGCCCTAGTTAGTTCCCCTACGGTACTGCTACCGGTGAGAATCATTGACAACGTCTTGGGAGACACCATCCTCACAACCATCATTGTCGAATATTTCCATCGGTGAACACGATTGCACTGCAAAGTTCCGAACGCACCGTACCACAGCAAGATTGGAACSRACCGTTGTGCCATGACAAGGATTCCCGTCTGCCGTTCGCTCTTCGGCTCGGCTTCGATGTTAGCCACGCTGCTGCGGCTGGTTCTTCTGCTGTCCCTCCGTCCGCCGGCGGCCCTCGGCCTCGTCCGCGRCGGCCCCGCCGGCAGCACCAAGAGCAGAGGCGAAGCCGGCGTTTGTTCTTCTCCGGARCATCCCGGATCGCCACCGARCACGGTCGACGTGTGGAGCAACGTGATTGATCCGGAACGCCTCGCACCGTTGCTGGACGAGGAATCCATCCGGATCGGCCTGGGCCACCAGGTGTTTTCGAGATCACCGGAGAGCGACGCGGGCGGSRGAACGAAGCACGGCCACAGCGCGATCGAGCAGGTCCTGGACTCGATTCTCACCGAGCTCGACGACGACGCAAAATACGTGGAATACTGGACGCGGAGGGAGTGGCGGGCGATCCACGCCCACGCGGACGTGGACGAATACCGGGCAAAGCAGGAGCAGACCCCGGGCGCACCCGTCCCCAGCGGCGGCTTCCGGTATCCCCGCAACGGCCACGTGCTGTATCTCTCGGTCGGAAGCAGGGTCCGGGGACCCACGTGCGTCTTTCCGAACCGGCGTTCCGGGGGGGACCTGCTCCGGAAGAACCGCGACATTCGTGCCACCGGCAACGACGATAGCAACGACGACGACGACGACGGGGTCGAGGTGGTCACGGTGCCGGCGGTCCCGGGGCGGCTCCTCCGGTTCCGGGGGGACTCCCTCCACGCGGTCCCGCGGCCGACCGACTTTTGGCTGCTCCGGTTCGTCCAGGGATCGCCGGAGTTTGCGCCGGAGGAGGAGTGGGGCCGGTCCGTCGTCCTGTTCAACACGTGGAGCGACGAGCCCCCGGCGGGGCTTCCCGTCGACGGCGGCGACGGCAATGGTGATGGCAATGGTGATGGCAATGGCATTGGTGATGGCAATGACAATGGCAATGGCGCGGGTTGCAACCCGAGGGCCGACTGGGAACGCGCCTTTCCGCTGGCTCCCGAAGCGCGGGGCGACGAAGACGAAACGGAACTCGTAACGGAACTCGAAACGGAACACGGGGACGAGCGGGACCTTCGGCAGGGAACCCCCCTGCCGACCAAGATATGGCTGCTCGGCGACCAGCGGCGCCGAGACCTCGCGATGCAAACCGTCAAGCTGGAGTCCACCGAGGCCCTGCGAAAGGCCCTCTACCAGGAATCCGAGGTGACCTCCACGATCCTCGGGATTCCCTCGTGAACAAACCAACCATCGAAGCGAAACCGGCTGCTGGATCCGGAGCGGCACCGGGAGCCGAAGCCCTTGGCGGCCTTCCTCCTGCCTGCCGTACGCAACGCAACGCAACGCACAGCAACGTCTTTCGAGAAAGCACCTTTGGCAAAAGGCCCGATCCCCCGGCGCTCGTGCCCTCCGCACGAACGAACGAACGAGCGGCGGCCTTGTTCCGTTTCTCTCGCTCGGGCAGGCACCGCCAACCAGCACACACACACCAGCCACCGATCGTTCTGGGCAACAACCATGCATGCCGGGCCGGCCGGCAAGATGGACGGATGGATGGATGGATGGATGGATGCTCGGTGCGGATCGGAAGGATGTGTTTGTTTGTTGCCCGAACAAACGCTGCTAGTGGCGAAAGGTGAGTGGTGCTTCTGCCGCATCGCATTGGGTTCGTGCGCCGTTTCCTCCCGCGGTGGATGCCCCGGCGGGTCGTCGCCATTCGCATTGCATCGCGAACAAACAAGCATGGCTTTGGAAGCTTGAATCGAATCGAATCGAATCGAATTCCATTCCATTGGAAGCAGTTGGTTCCGCGGTCCGGACACGGACAACCTGCGGAACGAGTATTCGTATTCGTGCTCACTCGTACTCGGTTGCTCGTACCGGTACGTACGGTACGGTACGGTACGTCCGTGAACAGTTTGAATCACGGAAATTATTGCTTGTTTACGGTAACTATAACTATTCTTCATTCATACGAAAGATAGGATGATAAAACTACCCGTGTTTCGGGGTAACTCCTCGTAGGTAGCAGGGTTCTTTGTTTTCATGATGGTGTGTGACGTGTACGTTATGCGCAATGGAATCGGATCCGAAGTCCAGGAACGAACGAACGTGGCCCGGCAAAACCTGTTCCGACGCGGACCGTGATGTGTGCGCTGTTGTGTTGTGTTTCGCAAAACCCATGGAAACCACGACGTACGGTACCGTACGTACCGTATCGTAGACCCCTGATCGTAGGTACCACCGCGAGAACGCAGCGCATGTACCGTACGACACGGCACGATTCATTCGTTTGCTGGTGNAATCTTTTCTTGTGGCCGAACTGTTTTAGTAAACGTCGGTAACAAGGTAGGGGTAGTCTGTACTTCCCACCTATTTGTTCGGAGAAGTCAAATGATAGACATGATTCCCGTTCTCGCCCAGAACGTTCCATACATGCTATGGAGTAAACGTAGGATTCATAGGTGTGAGGCTAAATCCCGAGTAGCGTACGTACTACGTACGAAATAAAGCTGCACCGAAGAGATGTGAAAGTGCAGTAGAGATTATTAGGACCCTACTGCAAGTATCAGTACTATGTACATATCATACTGTACAGTATTCCATTACAGTACTGTACCGTACATTACAGTACCATGTATCGTATCATAGAGAAGTTGTACGCGTACGAGTACGAGTACGGGTACTCGTAGTGAGTAGTACTTGTCGGGTATGGCAGTACAGTTATTTATGAACACGTACGTCTGCTAGTAGCTCGTACGACGCGTACCTGTACGTACTACGTAGCTAGCACAGGTGCTACCTCGCTCCCGTCCCATCACAAACTGGACATCATCCCTCGTCCGAAATCGCGCCCTAGTTAGTTCCCCTACGGTACTGCTACCGGTGAGAATCATTGACAACGTCTTGGGAGACACCATCCTCACAACCATCATTGTCGAATATTTCCATCGGTGAACACGATTGCACTGCAAAGTTCCGAACGCACCGTACCACAGCAAGATTGGAACSRACCGTTGTGCCATGACAAGGATTCCCGTCTGCCGTTCGCTCTTCGGCTCGGCTTCGATGTTAGCCACGCTGCTGCGGCTGGTTCTTCTGCTGTCCCTCCGTCCGCCGGCGGCCCTCGGCCTCGTCCGCGRCGGCCCCGCCGGCAGCACCAAGAGCAGAGGCGAAGCCGGCGTTTGTTCTTCTCCGGARCATCCCGGATCGCCACCGARCACGGTCGACGTGTGGAGCAACGTGATTGATCCGGAACGCCTCGCACCGTTGCTGGACGAGGAATCCATCCGGATCGGCCTGGGCCACCAGGTGTTTTCGAGATCACCGGAGAGCGACGCGGGCGGSRGAACGAAGCACGGCCACAGCGCGATCGAGCAGGTCCTGGACTCGATTCTCACCGAGCTCGACGACGACGCAAAATACGTGGAATACTGGACGCGGAGGGAGTGGCGGGCGATCCACGCCCACGCGGACGTGGACGAATACCGGGCAAAGCAGGAGCAGACCCCGGGCGCACCCGTCCCCAGCGGCGGCTTCCGGTATCCCCGCAACGGCCACGTGCTGTATCTCTCGGTCGGAAGCAGGGTCCGGGGACCCACGTGCGTCTTTCCGAACCGGCGTTCCGGGGGGGACCTGCTCCGGAAGAACCGCGACATTCGTGCCACCGGCAACGAAGACGATAGCAACGACGACAGCAACAACGACGACGACGGGGTCGAGGTGGTCACGGTGCCGGCGGTCCCGGGGCGGCTCCTCCGGTTCCGGGGGGACTCCCTCCACGCGGTCCCGCGGCCGACCGACTTTTGGCTGCTCCGGTTCGTCCAGGGATCGCCGGAGTTTGCGCCGGAGGAGGAGTGGGGCCGGTCCGTCGTCCTGTTCAACACGTGGAGCGACGAGCCCCCGGCGGGGCTTCCCGTCGACGGCGGCGACGGCAATGGTGATGGCAATGGTGATGGCAATGGCATTGGTGATGGCAATGACAATGGCAATGGCGCGGGTTGCAACCCGAGGGCCGACTGGGAACGCGCCTTTCCGCTGGCTCCCGAAGCGCGGGGCGACGAAGACGAAACGGAACTCGTAACGGAACTCGAAACGGAACACGGGGACGAGCGGGACCTTCGGCAGGGAACCCCCCTGCCGACCAAGATATGGCTGCTCGGCGACCAGCGGCGCCGAGACCTCGCGATGCAAACCGTCAAGCTGGAGTCCACCGAGGCCCTGCGAAAGGCCCTCTACCAGGAATCCGAGGTGACCTCCACGATCCTCGGGATTCCCTCGTGAACAAACCAACCATCGAAGCGAAACCGGCTGCTGGATCCGGAGCGGCACCGGGAGCCGAAGCCCTTGGCGGCCTTCCTCCTGCCTGCCGTACGCAACGCAACGCAACGCACAGCAACGTCTTTCGAGAAAGCACCTTTGGCAAAAGGCCCGATCCCCCGGCGCTCGTGCCCTCCGCACGAACGAACGAACGAGCGGCGGCCTTGTTCCGTTTCTCTCGCTCGGGCAGGCACCGCCAACCAGCACACACACACCAGCCACCGATCGTTCTGGGCAACAACCATGCATGCCGGGCCGGCCGGCAAGATGGACGGATGGATGGATGGATGGATGGATGCTCGGTGCGGATCGGAAGGATGTGTTTGTTTGTTGCCCGAACAAACGCTGCTAGTGGCGAAAGGTGAGTGGTGCTTCTGCCGCATCGCATTGGGTTCGTGCGCCGTTTCCTCCCGCGGTGGATGCCCCGGCGGGTCGTCGCCATTCGCATTGCATCGCGAACAAACAAGCATGGCTTTGGAAGCTTGAATCGAATCGAATCGAATCGAATTCCATTCCATTGGAAGCAGTTGGTTCCGCGGTCCGGACACGGACAACCTGCGGAACGAGTATTCGTATTCGTGCTCACTCGTACTCGGTTGCTCGTACCGGTACGTACGGTACGGTACGGTACGTCCGTGAACAGTTTGAATCACGGAAATTATTGCTTGTTTACGGTAACTATAACTATTCTTCATTCATACGAAAGATAGGATGATAAAACTACCCGTGTTTCGGGGTAACTCCTCGTAGGTAGCAGGGTTCTTTGTTTTCATGATGGTGTGTGACGTGTACGTTATGCGCAATGGAATCGGATCCGAAGTCCAGGAACGAACGAACGTGGCCCGGCAAAACCTGTTCCGACGCGGACCGTGATGTGTGCGCTGTTGTGTTGTGTTTCGCAAAACCCATGGAAACCACGACGTACGGTACCGTACGTACCGTATCGTAGACCCCTGATCGTAGGTACCACCGCGAGAACGCAGCGCATGTACCGTACGACACGGCACGATTCATTCGTTTGCTGGTGTGTGGTGTCTTTCTTCGTCGAGGCCCATCTCGTCTTCTTCGCAAGTGGTTGGTAAAGTACCTGCACAGTATATCTTTTGTTCGAGTCCTCGACCTTGCACAAAAGGGCAGGAAAGATTGCAAAAATACAGTATTGTTCGTCCACCGAGAACACCACACCGAATGGGAACCGCACAAGAACGGAAGGAATCCAGCACACAATGAACCCGAGTGCCACGGGATGGAAAGCTTTGTTTTGCCCGCCCTTCCGGGGCAGTGGCGGCAGTGGCAGAAGGCCGGTGGAGAAGAGGTCCCGGAAGCGCCCGAGGAACGAACCCCGATCGGGGCACCTGCACCGAAACCTGGTTCGCCCCTGCGCGGACCACGGGGGGTCCTTCCTGGTGCCCCTCGCGGTGGCCGGAATCGCCGTKGTCTCCGCATGGAGGAAGGATTCCCCGGTGGCGGTGGCCTTTGCCTTTGGCCCGCCTGCCGTAACGGGCGTGTTGCCCCGGGGGCACCCCCTTGGTGCACCGCCCATGAATCCACAAAACAGCAATCCACACAACAGCAATCACATCCGCAACAGCAATCCACACAAGCACATCCGCAACAAACATACGTGGCCGCTGGCCTTTGCTACCAACCCGGACGACCCCGTCGAGGGCCTCGGGCCCTTTCTCGGCGAGCCCCCCGGCCAAAGCCGAAGCCGCAGCGCCCAAACCCAACGACAAACCCAAACCCCGGGCCTTCTGGTGGCACCGCCCGCGCCACCTGCGGCCCCCGGCCTTCCCCCCTGGCTGGAGCTCCTGAAGCACGAGTCGGAGTCCTTTTCCTCGCGCGAGGCCGCCTCGRGGCGGGTCCGGAAGGACGTGCGGTGGCTGGAGGCTTCCCTCCGCTCCTTCCGGGGAGGCATCGCCCTCTCGGAGGCCGACGTCCGGGACGTCGTCCTGGCCCTGCACCGGTGCTGCGCTTCGCCGGGCTTCGAGGGCAGCGGGAGGCGGAGCCGCACCGTGGCCAAGATCGCGGGCTGCGTCCGGTTCTGCGGGCTGCTCCTGAAGCTGGACGACGACTCGATCGACGCCGGTCGCCACCACGCGGAACGAGAACGGGAACGAGAACGAGAAATGGACGCCAGCGGCAAGCACCCCGAGGCGGGCTGCCTCGTCACGAAGGACGTGCTGCTCGCCAGCATCCTGCACTATTCGGAGTGTTTCGATGCCCGCTACGACGGGGTCTACRACGAGGGTTGCGACGGGGTTTGCGAGGGGGTCCAGCACGCACTCGCCGKGGAAAGCGCGGGCGACGAAACCAGCGCGGTGCAGAAACCGGGGCCAAGGCTGTTGCCCTCTGCGGCAAGCGGGGGCAGCAACGTCGACAACAACAGCGACAGCAGCGGCGACAGCAACGGCGACAACGCCACCGAGCGGGATCCCCCCGCCTCTGGCACCGGCGGAGAACCCGCCATCGTCCTGGTCGGGGACCGCGAGGGGGRAAACGGCGCTACTCCGGCGCCGATGCGGCTCTTTGCCGACCCCGGGCCGGCCGATGCGTCCCTCGGCGGCGTCTTTTCGGAGGAATCCCTGCGCCTCGCCGGGGCCGCCTCGAAGCTGAAGCGGATCGAGATCTTGTCGAGCCTCACCCTCGCCTCCCCCCCTTCCGGGCCGCGGAAGCGCCCGCTGGGGGCGGACGAGTACGCCTCGGTGCGGAACCTCATGCTCAGCCTCACGGACGACTGGAGGGCCCTCGCGATCCGGTGCGCGGCCTCCCTCTTCCGGCTGGAGGGGATCCTGGAACACTCCGAGATCCATTCCGGGAGGGGGGGCTTTCGGCGAAAGAGCCCCGAGGTCGTCCTGGCCGCGAAGGACTCCCTCAAGATATACGCGGGCCTGGCGCAGCAGATGGGCCTCCACCGGCTCCACACGCAGCTCGAGTCGGGGGCCTTTCGGATCCTATACCCGAGGCAGTATTCCGCCTCGTCYTCCCTCTTCCGGGAGCACGGGGCGGCCATGGAGGTCCTCTCCGGCTTTTTGTCCAACCAGCTGGAGCAGCTCCTCTGCGAGGATCTCTCTCTCATGTTCGAGCTGGAGAGCCTGGAGGTGGCCTCGCGCGTCAAGGAACCCTACTCCTTTTGGAAAAARCTGCTCMRGACGCGGATCCGTCCGATCCTGGCGTCGGCATCGGGCTCGGACTCGRMMTCGGACTCGAACCCAGGCTCGGACTCGAAGAACAAGGGCGTGGAAAGGACCGGGGACGGCGACGGGGGAACCGTTTCCGTCGCAACCACCCAGGAGGGCAAGCCGCGGCAGCGCCAGATGGTGCGATCCACCGACGGCTTGTCCATCGTCGAGGTCAACGACGGGGTGGCCCTGCGCGTCGTTCTAAAGGCCCGGAAACTCGATCCTTGCGAGTCCGACGAGACCACGCGGGAAMGGGAACGAATGCTCTGCTACTACGTCCACCACCTGGTCCGCTCCAGGTGGCCCGAGACGGACGTGGGACGGGTGAAGGACTACATCCGAAACCCAAAGCCAAACGGATACCAGAGCCTCCACCACACCTCCAGGATCACGAGGAACCACCAGGACTTCTTCTTCGAGGTACAGGTGCGCAGCCARGAGATGCACGAGCTCGCCGAGTTTGGGGTCGCCGCGCACTCCTCGTACAAGCTCACCGGAAACAGCAACAGCAACGCCAGCGGATCGGCATCCTCCCTTCCGAAAGCCGCGATGCTGCCGCCGGCCGGAGATCCGGACGGTCCGGGTCGATCGCCGTCGTTTTCGTCGTCTGCCCTGGTGGTCTCGCCGAGGGGCCAACCTTCCACCCCCGAGCCCGCCGCCGGCGGCAGCAGGGCTTTGCCGGTCGCCGCCGACGCCGGAACCCCGGGGCCGTACATCCACGCCCTCCAAGAAACCCGCCGGGGCCTGGTGCAAAACCACGTGTACGTCTTTCTGGCGGGGGCACCGCTCTCGGCTTCGAACGAAACCGGCCGGCTCCTGGGTCTCCCGGCCGGTTCGCTCGTGAAGGACGTCCTGGGCGACCTCCGAACGGTCCGCGGGGGCTTTGGGGCCGGAGAAGAAGCAAGTGCACTCCGCGTGTGGCGCAACGGACGGCCCGCGCGGCTCGGGGAGGCCATCGAGAACGGCGACGTGATCGTCGTCGAGCCGCTGCTTCCGCCGCTGCCCGGCTCGGACCGTGCGAGAGAGCCACCGCGTGCCGCCCGGCCGGTGCCGTAGAGTGCGGTGCCGTAGAGTGCGGTGCAGTGCGGTGCGGTTGTGTGTTTGGAAACGGGGGCTTTTCCATCGGCAGCGTCTGCGATGCCGGGTGGCTGTTTTGCCTATCCTATCCTATCCGGAACTTGCGGCGGCTGCCTTTTTGGAAGCCGCATCCGTGGATGCTTTGTGCTTCCCCGGTGCGTTCTTCCAGAGAGAAGAGACGGTTTGGGAAGCGGACGAGCACGGAGTATTGCACGAGGAACCAACTCTGTTCCGTGCAACGCGTCGCACGCACCGAGTGGATTCGTTTGCCCCGTCGATCCGTGGGCAAAGCCTGTTGACGAAATCATTGGGTGCCAGAAAAAGGATCCATTGCCCCGCGGGTTTGTYTCGCTGTGCGACCAGCAGAAGCAAATGGATTCGGAATCCACTCGGCGACGGGTTCGTAATGCCCACATATTCTGGGCGTTGTGGGGGTTCTGTTCCTCGAATACAATGCATCCATCGGGAGGAAGAGAGCTTATCCCGCTTGGCTCGTACATTTCGCGCCGCAAAACACTGTTCTCGAAAGTCTGAAACCAACCCCACCGATGTTGAGATGGTTGAATTGGGGAAGCTTGTTCGAGTCAAACAATCGTGTTCTCTGTCTTGTTCTATACTTCTGACGAAACACGAGCTCTCCTCCTGCTAGCTCTAATTATCGCGGCCTCTTTCCGGAAGTCACTCACCTTGCACCCTTCAGTTTGCTCTGGCCTGTCTCTTGTACAGAACTCCTTCGGACGGATCCTTCGTTCAGTCAAGATCTCTTCCGCTTCGACATCTCTGCACCAAATCAATAGCTGTCACACAATCCGCCGGCTCCAGCTAAAGCAGTTATCCTTCTGCTGCTCAGCCGCCTCCAGCTGTCCACTCCTACTCATAAGCATCATATGTGTAGATGTCAGTTTCCACTGCTCAACCCATATCTATGATACCGATGAAGCTCACCATCCAGGGGCCATAATTGAGAGAGGGGTGTGCATCACATCAAAACTCATATTCCATGTGTGGTCGAAAATAGAAAAATATCACCCCAGCACTTTTTCTCAATTGTTATTTTACTGCATAATTGTATCAAAGCTATTCAACTTTCAATTACTACTAGTGGTGAACTTCATCAAACGTAAAATGACCTTTCACACATACATCTATATCAGTGTTTAATGAGGATTCTGAGTATGTCATTTTGTTTTGATATGAAATTGATGGTTGTGCTATCATTTTATTGATAGTGGATGACCAAATTACTAGAACTAGAACTACTACTGGAAAGTAGTACACGAAACGGATAAAGGACAGACTGTTCGAATTTTTTAGGGACTGGACTGTTTTCATTAGTAGTAGTACTACTAGCCTGGTAGTAGTAGTACTAGTACAAGCTCTTTGTCAGCACATCAAATCTCAAACTATAGAAAGCTAAACAATCCAAGAAACACTTGCATAGTAGTACTACTGCTTCACTCTCAACTATACAACAAGAAGAGATGGTGTGCACGTGAAGTTTGAAATTCAGAGAGTGACACTACTAGTAGTACTACTAGGAAGTGTTCCTGTGCAGCAGGAGGGGGTCTTCCTGGTACACTTTTTGCAGTGATTGTCTTTCTCTTTGCCCCAGATGGAAAAATCAGAGCTCTCACATTTAAATGCCTGAGAGCTTGGCACAATAGCAACATGTCAGGGTGTGKTATCCACAGGAAGATGGAGGACATGGTGCATTACTTGTACAGAGCAAAGGTTGTGATCAACTCAGCCTTAAACTTGCAAGACAAGCAAGATCTTCTCAGAAACTTGTAAAGGGATACAGGCATGGTCAATGGCACCAATGGAGGTACCTCAAATGAGGCTGCTGCTGGGAGCACCATATCAATGAATCAACAATCAACAGCACTAGTAAGACAGCTGTCTGAGTTTGGCGTGAGGATGATTCAATGACAGTTCCCAATGTTGAATGACAAGATTTGACTTTAGGAGAATGGTGAAAGGAAAGTTCTCTAGAACAAAGTGATCTTGTTGCAAAAATATCATGCCAGCACTGTATGAATCAATTACATCCTTAATATATTTATGCCCAATAAGAAACATAAAAGGTTTTTTTTTYCATCGTATAGTACTACTCAATTACAATGCAAACAACTTGTTTTGATTAGAGCCAAGATTAGGACCAGCACAAACGCAAATAACGATACACCAACAATACAACTAGTAACCATACACCAAGGATACAAACAAAGGACAAATCCCATTATTGAACCTACCATTTTCAATCAGCAATCAATACAGCACAGCAGCAACTAAACAACTTTAAACCAATTCAAATCAGCAAAGTGAGCWAGGACTAAGGAGGAGCATAGAGGAGTAAAGGGGAATACTATGTGTTCTAATACCGTGTTAAATTGGATTTGGTACACCATACTTTGTGTTATTTGAATTTTTCTAAGGTTCACAACGTCTGTTGAAGTGTTGCAGTGTTAAGGCTTTAGATTTAAAATAAATAGAAAATATTCATGTTCAATAAAAAATGATCACAAAWTTCAAAAGAAGGCAACAGGAATAAAAGCCATGACCTGCATTGAAATCAATAAGAAATGTTTGGTTTGGATATACTGATTAAAAGCTAGTATGCATGTAGAAGTATTCTTAGGCATTGCAAGACTTAAAGATTCCAAACACTGTGTGGAAATCATAGAGAACAACAAAAGATAATACATAGTCACTCCTGTGTTTCATTCACTTGCATTCTCCCCTGTCCATCTCCAATATTGGTCTTTGCACCAATCAAATGCTTGGTCCTATAGGCCAGTCTCACTGCCAAAGGACAACAATGTGGATCACCAAGAGGGATAGTTTTTGTATGAAGAGTTGAATACTTCAACATCCCTATTGACATGAGGATAGTAGTTCTGAGCATGAGTTGCAACTAGTACTTCATTCCACTGATCAGACCCAATACTAGTAGGAAGCCTCTCCAAAATGACATACATCAAGGCAATTGTTTCCCGAGTGGTATAGTTGCTTGTTCTAGTCCTCTGGCCTCCTACAGTTGGCATGTGTTGTTGTTGTTGCTGCTGTGTTAAAACCATGATGGTTGATTTTTTATGGTTGGAATTTGGTGTACAGTAGTAGAAAAACACGTAGCAATTGATATGGGGTCATATGGGGTCATATGGGGTCATAGGGGGTTATTGAGTATTTAATTATATATGTGTAGTACATATATCAAGCATGAAAAATGTACAATTAAATCAGCTATTTTTGAATCACCACTGTTATATGATAGGGACTAGTAGTTTGTGGTGATAGTAGATAAAAATACAGAGTAGGTTACTACTACTAGCTGTGGTGGACCTGTTGTTGTTGACAGTTTGTCTGGTGTGTTTGCTGGCATCATGTGTTCTCTTTATTTAAAGTCTGCTTGGCCAGCTTGCTCCTGGCACTAGCAGCATGATGTGTTCTCAATATTTGGCCCTGATGCAGTTGTTTTCTTTTAATTGCAAGCAAAATTCTATATTCCAAATTAAGCACACGCAGCGCCAAACTTCAATATCGATGATTCTATGTAGTAGTAGTTACATGCTTATRCCCATACCACTACTCAAAAACATAGAGTATGTCAGCATGGATTCAATGTACTATATGTGAATGACCCAATGTCTTCACCATTGATTCTGCTGTCTGCTGTCCATAGGATATCAGATCATGGGTATGACTTGTATCTACGACACATACCTATGACACATACATCTGGTTCATACACATTCTACATTCATACTAGTATCTCATTTGATCCTATAGATCCACATGACTGACTTGACTCATTCAATTCACACATCACTCAATCTTCACTCCAATGGATCTTAGATTTCATAGTTCGTTGATCCTCAATAAGAGCATTGACTCACTTTTCTTCTAGCACTTGATTTACATCACTATCAGATAGTCACTCCCACAGGTCATGACACCCTTCCAATAAAAACTACCATCACCTTGGTAATTTTTTTGGTGTGCTCTCTCTTCACACGACTCTACCTCATACAATTGCCCATAAGCCTTTGAACAACAAACTGTCATCGCACATATGCAGTGATGACTACTAAAGACAAGTCAACATTCATTGAATGAAACAAAACTGGATTTTCTGTTTCGTCCTATTCACCATCATCAAAGCTCTGCTCCAATTTTTTTGCCATTGTTTCAAAATCAAAATCTTGATTCAAGACACACATTCTTGTTCTTTGAAACAAATTTGGCGACAACACTCCTATCATCATTTCTTAACTCCCACAAGGGCATTAAAAATTAAATCCCACAGTTGTGCATCACGCATTTATTTTTATTCCCACATTCAAGAATTGAGACCACCTCACTGTACAAGACCATCACACGTTGCAGTAAAACCTCTCCTTGACCAACAATTCTTGAAGCTTCTCATGAAAACTGATATTTTTACAAACAAACAACAAATTATCACTTTACTACAATCATGACATAAAACATATTTTGATTCAAATCAAAACATCATTTATTCCAAATTTCCTTTTTATCCAGACTTTCAAGACTACACAACTCCATTTCACTATGCCTACAAGAAGCACATCAACTGGCATCAATGCCTGCCCTTTCCATCCAAAGGTATCGTTCATCAATATTGTGTTCCACAATCATCAACTTCACCCCAACTTGACCGGCAAAATGAATTACACATATAGCATGACCTTCAACTTTGGGAAACTTCTTACCAACAAAGGAAAAGCTTTTATTGATCAGCAATTGACAATTGATCACATCAAACAATTGAGAATTGATAATATCAAAGAACACACCGTCAACACAATTGGCATCACTTACATCAGCAATCTTGTCGGAAATAAAACCTTGTTTATGGTGACCATTGCAAAAGACACACTCCGTGCACTTGGAAACAATATTTGCATGCTCACCTATGCTGTTGACTTTGTCCCCAAATGCAACAATACAAATACCCTTGTTCTTCACATTAACTGGTCACCCATTTTCATTGATGAAAGACCCTTTTCTAAAGACGTGTATAACTTTGACAATTTCTTGGACATACCTTTCCCTCCTCCAGTCAACCTGACAAATCAACCCMATACTAACAACATGACCCAACCACCTGCTGTTGATCCAAACATTATGCTTCTCTTTACTGAGAATAGAAACATGATGCAACAACAAGCCACAATGATTCAGCACCTTGCYCCAAAAGCCAAGACTTATAGCTTAAACATCACTCTGTTTGTCCCATTGAACTATCCAAACCAGGTTCAAGATTGCTACAAGCTCAACATGACCCAGTATGAATACCATACCGCCGATACTTTGTCAGACATCCTCAACACATCTTCCAACCCTGATGGCCTTTGCCAATACCACAAAGACCCACAAAATCCTGCACTGGATTTGTCACTTGGGAATGCTCGCCATACTTTGTCCTTGTTGACCTCAGACAGCAAAGCATAACAAACTTCTGCACCACAGCAAACAAAATCACAGGCAACACAGCATATGATATATGTCAATTGGTACACATGCTTCCCAGCTCATTGTTCGCGATTCAGAAAATATTGCCACCCTTACCCAAGCTTCCATCCTAAATGTAACCACCCATGTGGATTCACATTAGGTATGAACCAAGAAGATGACCTCCACCCAACCTTCAAGACTAAAATATTAACTGACTCACAAGTCATTTGGGATGTCATCCACACTGTCTTTACCTCAAAAGATAAATATTGTCATATCATTGAACTACATGACGGTCACAGATAGAAAGCTTTAAAAGCAAACATCTACAAAACACCCCAAATCCCCATCTATGTTGGTTACAACTTGCCCTACTAAAGGAACTCTGTCCCTCATGGAATACTGGAAAAAATGCATTAATCGAAGGCAATAAACAAACTGTATATGACAGAAATGAACGCAAACACTTTGTGGATGGATGTACACACTCTTCTTTTCTCCAAACAGAAATTTATCAAGAACAAGACTTTATCCACCTTCAACATAGATTTGAACTGCCCAACTTTGTCGCAACTCTTCAGCAATATTTGAACTTCCCAAATAGCCCAACGCAAGTACAACCAGTTGCACAAACCCCTACTTGAAAATACAATTCATATATAAATACATACAAACATGCTGATAGCACTCAAGCAAGCTCTCCAAGAGGATGATCAATTTGTAAAGAATTGCTTTACTGCCACTGTCAATAAAATACATGTCTATTAAAAACATGCACATGGACATATTGAACATGAGATGAATCAATTACTGTCAGATCTCCCTGGTCACCTGGTCAACAACTGGATATTCAATGCTACTCCAATACATGTCATCAAAGGACAAACTGAACAACTCCTATGGCACCAATGTCTACTAGGACATATGACAATACCTCTACAATGCTCACAAACATATTGATGGTATCCCCAAATTCAAACACAACAATCCAATTCTAAATTGCTGTCCTACATGAATTCAATCAAAACAAACAAAAACACTGGCTGGACAAAACACTACTCATTCAGCTACCCTCCTGTATCAATGCCTCTCCATCCATTTCTCATGTAGTGGCACAAAGTCAAAAGAAACTTTGTGTGCACAAGATTATGAAGGAATACTAAATGGTGAAATGAGTTGGATCCTTATCTCCAACCACTTCACACAACAATATTTAATTGGTGATGCTTGATTTTCTAAAGTTCCTCCAATCACATGGCTCCAGAAAATGTAGATAGCCACACACCAAACTGTTCCAACAAATACATGTACATGGACCAAGGTGCAGAACTGTACCACAACCCAGAAGTACACAAACCTTTACACAAGAAAAAGGATATCAAATATGACCAAAAGGTGCAGACTCATACCACCAAAATGGACCCAAACAATCTACAAAAATACCAAAATATTAAAGTTGCAACCAGTCAACCACTTCCTGATATCTTCACCRAATGCCATCCTTGCAAATGAAATCTTTGACATCATTGGCAAGAGACTGCAACTCCAAAAAGAAAAGCACATACTACCATTMAAGAATTTGGGACTCACCACATCATAAAATGGCGTTGATATCAACCAAACAAAACACTACATCAAAATTTCTTGTGAAGATTACATCCACCAATTTGCTTGATCTCAGAGCTGGACAACACCCAAAGACAAACTACTCAGTCATCCAACTGCCCCTCTCCCTGAAAAACCTTTGGACCATGTCTTTAGTGAACAAGGCCCACCTGAAGGATTCACTAAACAGAAGAAATTAAACATCAACTGGATTTGCCTACCAAACACTTCTTGGCAAAATCCTCTATGCATAAAATATTCATTGCCCTGACATTGGATTACCTGTATCCACTATGTCCAAATTTTCTTTGAACCCATTGGACCTGCATTTCAAATATCTCAAAGGCATTGCTCTATACCTTTGACAAACAAAAACTTGGGGTCTAAGATACTGCAAAACTACAATCCTGCAGGACAACAACCTTCAGGATGGAACCTTTGAAGACTCCCCAGTACCAGTACTAGACAATCTTCCGCCATTTCCATCATTACCTACAGATACCACCATCACTTATGTAGTCAATGTGCACACACAAATATAAAACCAAAACAAAAATCCATCACAGGATTTGCAATACAAATTGAAAACACRAAGGCAAACTGCACAAAGCTCAACCAAAGCAGAATGCTACACTGCTGTTTCCACTACAAAAAATGTTTGTACCTCAGGTCTATTCTTGCTGACCTGGGCTTTCCTCAACAACAACCAACAATGTTGTATGAAGACAACAATTCTACATTGAAATTGTAAACTCAAGAGTTCCAACAACAGAACAATCATGACACATCAACATACCATACTTTGTGATATAGGATTGGAAACAAGACCTCTATATCATGTAGTTCATCAGTGGCACAATAAAGAACCCTGCAGATGCACTGACAAAACCCCTTGGTTTGGTCCTTCACAATTGCCATGTACACAGACTCTTTGCACGCTTTGCAATAGTTCCACCCAACTGATGTCCTCCTTCCTCATCTTTTCTGCTATGATGATCTGCTTGGTGTACACATCACAGATCACGGGGGTACTGTCTGTAGGATATCAGATCATGGGTATGACTCATATCTATGACACAAACATATGACACATATCTATGATTCATACACACTCTATATTCATGACTCATTCGATCCTTGTGGGAGTGACTAACTAATAGTGATGTAAATTGTGTGCTAGAAGAAAAGTAAGTCGATGCTCTTATCAAGGATTGACAAACTATGAAATCTAGGATCAATCAGAATGAAGATCAAGTGATGTGTGAATCGAATGAGTCAAGTCAATCACATGGGTCAATCAAACAAGTCAAGTCACTGATGTGGATCCATAGGATTGAGTGAGTCATGAATGTAGACTGTGTATGAATCATAGGCATGTGTCATATGTATTTGTTGTAGATATGAGTCATACCCATGATCTGATATCCTACGGACAGCAATCGTCCTATAGACGATCCACATGACTGACTTGACTCATTCGATTCAAACATCACTCRRTCTTCACTCTGATCAATCTTAAGATTTCATAGTTTGTCAATCCTCAATAAGAGCATCAACTCACTTTTCTTCTAGCACTCAAAAATTTACATCACTAATAGATAGTCACTCCCACATATTCCCACATCACAAATCCATTGGTTTTGATGAGTACTAATCATACTAGTACTAGTAAACTTACTAGTAGTACTACTACTCTTAAGCTTCCCCTCCTTTGTATGCTTGTGGGCATTGTTTCACGAGGGGAGTTGAAATGATGGCAGGCATAAAAAAWTTGGAATGTGACTTTATTACTTGTGCCTCAATTTTCCAGGAAACTTCTTCTCAACACCCAATAGAACAACCGCACACTGCAGACCAAAAACTGGACAGCAAACACCAGACAGAGAACAAAGAGAACCAAGCAGCTGGCTCACAAAAAATAGCAATCAAACACACCAAGAACGAAGCAGCTGACGCAGGAAACTTCTCCTCCTTGACTGGAAGTCATTGCTGGAAAATGACAATTCGACAAATGAATAGTCCTCTTTTTCTGTGTCTGTGGCATGTCAGAAACGCGCCGATATTGATATTTTGTAAATGATTAAAAACACTTCTTGTCATGACAGCTGCCGGTAGCAAAGCAGCAAACTTCTCCGCTTTGGATGAAAGAAGATCTTTTCAAAACGAAGTTCAAGAAAAAGTAGTCGCATGCAGCGGAGAGGAAACGAAGTTAAAAAAAAAATGGGCGTATTTGCAACAAATATTTAGGAACTGCAGCTAAGSAATATTAATAAAGCTGGTGGTGCGAAAAACGTTGTCAGAGAAAGCGAGGACGAGTTAATGCCATATCCTCACAATTCTAGTTTAGAGACGCACAACCTACTTTGGGCTGCACGCGTTGGAACAATGAAATTCTTTCACACTTTTATCCTATCATCTCTACTGTGCTTTGCACTCAACGCCGACGTGACAGTTGCTGATTCACAAACAAGCGGCGGCAATGACGGCGGGGCGCCATTCAAATCTGAAGCTGTGACTGGAGAAAAAGGAGAAGAAAACTTGCGGCGTTTGCTTCCCCTTCTCCAGGATCCCAAGCTGCTAGAGATTACTCCTTGTGGTACATCGGTCAAGATTTCGCAAGACGATTTGTCCAGTACTTACGATGACCTCTGGGATGGAGCCATTAGCCATTTTCCTCCACAATTTTCTGATGTTTTCAAAGAGCAGTTTCGAGAGAAACAGAAGTATGGTTTCGAGATGAGGAAAGTATGTGCCTCTTGCGACGAAGTTCTTAAAATGGAACCGGATTACAAAACTAGGTATGATAACTCCGCTTTTGAAAAATATTGCGGCGAAGGTGTCTTTGGAAGTGACCTTCAAGTCTCTGGTCTCGTCGTACTCCCCTTGAAGGGCAACGAAATCCTTCCAGGTGAACTCCCAGGCTTTATTTTTAGCCGTTATACGACGTTACCGATCATTGAAATACCAAGTCAATTCGAGACAAGTTTGGTGATTCTGTATCAAATACTTGGTGTAATGGCTACTGTTTCAGAGGGAACAGTATCAATTTGTCCCGATTTTGCGGGTTACGGGAGTAGCCAAGCTCCTAGAGGTTATTTACTCAAAGATTCGTATCCTGCTTCCACTATTCCTCTGTGGCTCAAGACGAAGGTACAACTTCGGGAAGAAACCAATTGTAATACGGATATTGGAAATTCCGCAACTTATGCTGGATACAGTGAGGGAGGCTACGCATCAATAGCAATTGCAGACGGCTTGCAGAAAGCCATTGGAGTCCAACCTAACTTTGTTTTGGCTGGTGGAGGTCCCATTCGCATGAAAGACTTGACGCTCATAGATGTAATTAAAAACAGCATCGGGCCTGAAAGTTTACAACAAGTACACATTGGTTTGCTTTTTGGGTTGTCGTATTCCTCGACCTACCCTACTGTTGCTAATTTCAATGCAGGACAAGATTTGCTAAGGAGTGAGGTTCGGGATCTAGCGCTTGGGTGGCTACAGGAGGTGGACATCACGCATGCTAAATTGAATGAAAAAATATTGAGCTTTGTGGGAGGATCCGCAGATGGTCTTATCGATGCAATCATGAATCCCAACATCCTTTCACTCGTCCGTGGAGCGATTGGTGCAGGAAATGAAGATTACTGTCAGTCAGAATACGATGGATACGAGACTGGAGTCCATGACAAGATTTGCGCGGCGTTGATCCAAAACGATCTCTACGACACAAYTCTCGAAGTTGACTATCCTGTACGCCTATGTCATAGTAGCTATGATGAATTAGTTTCGATCGATCATCTGGCTAATGTGACTGAAAACCCTTTTGTGGAGCTTAAACTTGCGCAATATGATCATCATCTATCAGGTGGAGAGTGTCTTGCTGATGTGGGCCTCTTCATTGCACATGGGCTTTCGGCGGTGACACCGGAACCCAGTCCGATCTCATGTCCAGAGAAAAGTCCCACACCTGCACCTGGCAATGATTTGAATCAAGAATTTTTGTTCAAAAAGAAGAGAGGTGTTTTGGAAACAAAGAAATGCAGTTTCATTGGTACACAATCGCCATCAGAACAAGAGAGAATTTGTACAGCCAGGGAGTATCAAATCCGGTCCAAACGGAACGGGTACGCACCGGCATCTGTGGCATGTTTTGATTCCTGCTCCGGTTTCTGTGCAAAAGAATTTGGCCGGAGTAGATTTCTGTACAAAAGAAAGATGAAAAATGAAGTTGTTATCGAAAAATCCAAATCGTGCAGATGGTTGGAGAAACAAGAGCCATCGAAAATCGCAAAGATTTGTTCCGCATTGTTTGATGGATCTTTGTTGTACGGTAGTGCTGCCGATGTTTGCACCACAGTTTGTGCTACGTGTTAGGAAGATAAATTTGTAAGTTGCTAGTCTGCCACTCGACTCTTAAGTAAGACATGCACCGCTCGTGGACATCAACGGTCACATTTATCCTTTTGACATTAAAGCTTTAAATAGCAATTAAATGATTTTTCAAGTTATTCCACAACAGTCGCCTTTGGTGGGAAACGCAACTCGTCGATATTGTATTGCAATGGGAAATAATCCAGGAAGAAATGCGATTCGTTGTATGTTGCTAGATAAAAACAGTTACTTTTTTCGCCTTCGTAATCTCTTGCATTTGCAGATGGAGCAACTACGCATGTCGTCTTCTTCCAGATAAAACCGGTTGTTTTCTTGCATTCATCTCATTGTATAACAGATTCGCGATTGGTGATATCAAAAACAACCAGCACAGCACAGCTTTAGGCGCAGTCTCCCAGGTCCACCAAGGCGCAGGTTGCTGGGCAGTATTCCCAGACACGCTTATTTCTATACTTCTTTCGGCACCTTTTCTTGATGGCTCGTACGTTTCTCTTTTTGTGCAATTTGTCGGCACCCTTGGCCACCCAATGCTCACAAGATTTCTTTTCCTTGTTCTTGAAGCGAAAGTCTTTGTCGTCAATGCAACCAGAGGTGGTAGTCGAGGTGATGAGTGAGGTACCATCGTAGGTGGGAGACGAAGTTGGACTCTTGTCCGGGGCTGGGGGTAAAGTTGGTCTTGGAGGGTTGTCATCAAACCCTTTATAGTTGCCATTTGGCATGATTGTTGGCAACCACAAATGACCTTCTGAGGTACTGTCCGACACCATTGCATATAGTGCGGGTGAACCGGCTTCCAGGGAGATTGCGTTGGTAACACCAGAGGGTGTAATTTCCATGTTACTATCGGGGGTACTCATTAACCATTCATTCATCGCAAACTCCGCCCGGCCTATAGTGTAAAGACCACCAATGTAGGAAACAACAGCCCAGTAGATTCCTTCCATAACAAGAACCCACACTTCGCACGATCGGCAGTTTTTGTTGTATACCCCTTCGAAGGCGTATTGGCCTGAGCATTTGTTTGATGATGGATTGACATAGTTACCGTCATGTCCCCAACCACAATTTCCGTTCGCTTCTTCGATGGCAACACCTACTTCGCTCTCAAAGCTTCCCCCCCACTTGCTAGGATATACGGCAGCTGCTCCCACCGTAATTAGATGCAAAATTTCCTCTATGGATGCATCCCCGTAATCCGGTCGACCACCTTGACAATCCTTGTCGTCGGTATCAATAAAGGCGGACCAGGTTGAACGATCTGTATCGGAGGCCCCTCGATTGCTCGGAACTACACAAGAGTTTAGATTTGTCTCCCATGTTCCTACCATTTGAATATAACCCAGCTGGTCGTGAAAGGAGGATCCCATTTTGCTCCAAGCGTCCTCCCACTCTTCCTCAGTAGCAGGAACAAAGAGCAGATAATTCTTATCTACTATCTCGGCGTGGACTCTGGGATCATCAGGTACTCCGTTGGCATCATTGTCCAAGTATTGGTAAAAGACGTTCACAATGTGATCGCATTTGGTTTTCTCTTTCCAAGCTTCTTCTGTAACACAAACTGCAGCGCCAAAAACGACAGTCATTTTTTCACAGAATTCGTTGAAAAACGCAGGCGGATTACTCCAAACGATCTCTCCGTCTTTCCAACCCACGTACCCTTCGAGCAGATTATTCTTATGGCAAGAATTTTTCCCAACAGAAGACCAACATTGCCCATCATCCCAATGGCAACAACCTACTTCGGCACATTTCTCAATACCGAAGCCTTTGTTTTCACAGGCTTCTTCGCCATTTATGGAAGCACCCAGTGGAAGGATCAGTGCGACTATCAACATAACAGCTGCAGCTTTTCCAAATAATTTCGTTTCATTTTGCGCAKTACCTTTCATTTCAATCACTCGTTTGTGTCAGAACACCCTCACTTAACTTTTACGACCAACGGCTAAAGGTCAAATTGATACGAAGTGGTACCAAGAATTGACAATTTGATTTTTATGATGTCTCACCAACAAACTGTACCGCTGTGATGATACGATGATACGACGAATACTATTTTCACACCAGAACAATTTTGGTGCTAAAATTTCATCCTAGCGTTGTCGAATACTTACTTTACTTCGTACGAAGCAAGATTGGATAGTTGCTCAGGCTGCACAGATTTATCGATCGGCATTACTGTATTTTAGTTGCTTTCTGTATTTGGATGAAGCCCCATCCGATCCAAGACTACGACTTCACGCAAGGCGCGCTCAGGGAAAATTCACGACTAAAATAGTATGGATATCAAGTACTTACGTACTTCTACGAAATAGTAACTGTGGAGAAGCTCTCGCAGCGCGTGTAACCAAATTGTAACCAGAATTTTGTACGGTATTATTGAGTGATTCCCGTTATTATAGAAGTGCTAAACTCATAGAATTCCGAGACAGATGTCGGAATGGGGAATGCGAATGATCCAGGGACAGTTCCCTAGAATCAAAGACAGGATGTGCTTGGAGGAGCAGGGGGAAAGAAAGA